CATAGTTTCATAGTTGTTGATTTTCGAAACAAATCAGTACATGTATATTATTTCGTATATTTTTCATTTTATTGATTTTATGGAAAGCACTGTTCATTAAAATGTAGTATCCTATGTTATAGGGCTTGTTTCTCTCTACAATTTCCTGTCTCACAATGTACCGTTAGTGTCCGGGAAGGGATCATAGTTTCATAGCTGTCGATTTTCGAAAGAAATTAGTACATGTATATTATTTCGTATATTTTTCATTTTATTGATTTTGTGGAAAGCACGATTCATTAAAATGTTGTATCCTATGTTATAGGGCTTGTTTCTCTCTACAATTTCCTGTCTCACAATGTACCGTTTGTGTCAGGGAAGGGATCATAGTTTCATAGTTTTCGATTTTCGAAAGAAATCAGTACATGTATATTATTTCGTATATTTTTCATTTTATTGATTTTATGGAACGCACTGTTCATTAAAACGTAGTATCCTATGTTATAGGGCTTATTTCTCTCTACAATTTCCTGTCTCACAATGTACCGTTAGTGTCCGGGAAGGGATCATAGTTTCATAGCTGTCGATTTTCGAAAGAAATTAGTACATGTATATTATTTGGTATATTTTTCATTTTATTGATTTTGTGGAAAGCACGATTCATTAAAATGTTGTATCCTATGTTATAGGGCTTGTTTCTCTCTACAATTTCCTGTCTCACAATGTACCGTTTGTCAGGGAAGGGATCATAGTTTCATAGTTTTCGATTTTCGAAAGAAATCAGTACATGTATATTATTTCGTATATTTTTCATTTTATTGATTTTATGGAACGCACTGTTCATTAAAATGTTATATCCTATGTTATAGGGCTTGTTTCTCTCTATAATTTCCTGTCTCACAATGTACCGTTTGTGTCGGGGAAGGGTTCATAGTTTCATAGTTGTCGATTTTCGAAAGAAATCAGTAGATGTATATTATTTCGTATATTTTTCATTTTATTGATTTTATGGAAAGCACTGTTCATTAAAATGTTGTATCCTATGTTATAGGGCTTGTTTCTCTCTACAATTTCCTGTCTCACAATGTACCGTTTGTGTCCGGGAAGGGTTCAAGGATAGATAGAGTGGAAGCACCGCGTGTGCAACAAAAAAAAAGATAAATGGAAGTCGTTGATATGTTGGTGACAGTTTCCATAGTGATTTACTTATCCACGAAGTACCGTATGATCGAATAAAAACGGCGTCAGCGATGGCTATGAAATGAAGATCGCTGTCATTTTATATGTAAATTTATATAGGAAATGCCATCGATCGTCATTTCCAAGCCAACTGGACGCCGTTTTTATTCGATCATACGGTACATATGATCTAGGGAATAAAACTATATACTATTATCTGAACCGAAACATTAAATATGATAGCTACAAGATCCCTACAAAGTAACAGGGTGTCTATGTCTCACATCCTCTAAGGTATTCCCGGAAAAATTTTCCGAAAACCCTACTTCAAACTGAGAAAAAATAAGTTTGATATCGTTACCCGCTGGAAATTAGGTAATGGCGACGGGAAACACAGAAGAACCGTTAAACTCCCGGATGAAAATTAAAGTAATTTTCATTTCGTCGGGGTTTTCAACCAGATTTAGCGGCTCCGCAGACGGGAGCTGGGAAAAGTAAATTTTCCGAATTGGCGGATAAGTTTTCCCGAGGGTTTTTTCCGTTTTTCGGGGTAGCCCTGTCTTCGAAATGCTGTCTTTAATTAATTGAAGACGTTTTGTAACTAAATTACTTTAAAGACGTTCTAAATCAAATGAATTTACAGGGTGAATCTTAAATAAGTGCAAATACCGGGTCCGGCAATAGTGTGTGGGGAATCTGTAAAACGTAAAGTATGTTCTAGAATGTATTTCAGGAAAATATTTTAACTTCTATAGGGTGGTTCAAAAAAGTGTGAGTGGATCGGAATTATTTTTTTTAAATAGAACACTCTGTATATTATTGGATTTTCGGCTTCCTTGCTGACCACTTTACATAATAATGAGTAAATATATTTCGATAATTTCAGTGATATTAATAAATAAATAAAAAATATATTTTTTTTCAGCCTTTCTCCTTCTTCAGCCATTTTACACTCCTTAGTAAAGACGTGTAAATCATAACTGACCGAATTATGAAGACCACAAACACCTATTATTGTTTGATTTTCAAAATACAGGGAAAAAGCTACGTTAAAAAATAGTAGCTCGTCTCACTTTGTATACATCAGAGATATAGTCTATTTTACTATGATTAGTTTTGAAGAATATTTGTACCATATTCTTTATTATTTTTTTTTTCTTTTCAGGTGAGTAATTTCAATTTCTACAAGACTTGCAGACTTCTTTGGTGGTACGTACTTAGTAAAGTCCGTTATATTCCTATATTGTAAAAAAAACTCTGGCAAAAATGGTTATAACATTAATAAATATGTTGTTATCAACGTGTCCCACATAAGAATGCGTACTACAGATATCTACTAAATAAACCAGATGATCCGAAACAAGAGCATTATATTTTGAAATCTAAAAATATCCGATTACCTTCACAGATATTTGGAAAACCCCGAATTTTCCCAATTTCATTTTCAGTTTTGTCGGACTTTTAATGGATTCAAAGTTCATATTGATATGTCGTTTTGTCTAAATAAAATAGTATTTCAAAATTTTTAACGGTTTCGCAGATATTGCCGGTTTTATACTTCATAGCGCATTTTCCACAGTAAATTTTTATCAAAGCCACCCAATGATTTTTCCCTTGTATTTTACCGTTGAGAGAGCCATAAGAAATAATACTGTGTGTATCTGCGAAACCATTAAAAATTTTGAAATACTTTAAATACAAAAAATGTTCATTTTTTAACTCTATATACAGGCCCGGCAATGGATCTCTAGGCATAGGAATTACATGCATTGGAATGAAACGCCTATAAAAAGTCTATGCTTAAACAGAGATGGAGAACAACTTCCCCGTTTCCACTTCCACTACGACTGTCTACTTAGACAAACTCCAATAAGATAACAAATTTTGGAAATTCCGCCACCTCCCATCCACTCATGATACCCATCTCCCTGCCCTTTATTTATCGCCGTTATTTTATTTCCCTTCCCGCGCCTCCGCACCTCGCTATTCCGACTACCGTCAGTTCATCACAGAGTTGCCAGGTCTACCGGTTTCATCTGTAAGCTACCGATCTACCGATTTAAAAAAAATCTAACGATATATTCAACTGCGTCTTTAGTTTTTACAATAGAAGCACTTTTAAAAAGCTGACTTATTTGACTAAAAATTAAGCGACTGCCGCGTTGGAATCTGTATAATCTGACTTTATTATTGTTTCATTAAATTTTATTTAGTAATAACACACAAACAGGTCATCGTTCTGTCTAGTTGCAGAGTTACAGAGATATTCCTAAAAATCCTTATTACTCCTTATTAGGCGCGGTATTGGCGACATGCCCGAAGAAGTTGACATCTTTGAAAAGATTTTATTTCATTCATCTACTAAAGTTGAACCCATATTTTCCCCCAAAAATGTAAACAAAAACAAAATTTAAGTTAAGAAACAACCTAAATTCGGACAAATATTTTAGTGATTTTCCCGTCAAAAAAATATATTAATATGAAAAAAGAGTTGAGAGTTGCTACAGCTTTCCCATTGAAATGAAATTAATTTTAGATATCACTTAAGTGAAAAGTGACTGCTACACTAATTTGTGAATGCTATCCCTACTTATAGTTTTATATGTTTTTATTAATATATTAATATTATTTAATTCAATATTTTTTTTAATATCAAATAATATACCTAGCTATTTCTAATTCTTGTTATATTTATTATATTTGTATTTTATTTGAGTGATCTATTATTACGACACATAGGAATGCTAATTTTGGAGTTAAATATTATATTTTATTTCGTTTCTGTACTTTTAATTTATGTTGAAGATCTACCGTGGAAAATTTTGTTCTCGTATGGAATTATAATCTAACAAACCCGGCAACCCTGTTCGGCTACTCCTTATAAAAAAATTTTCGGCCTAATTCCTTTGTCACAGCCGCGGCTTTGTCAAGCGCCGCCGCCGACCGACTGTGTCGGGGCGACTGCTAGGAAGATCGTACAGTATTGCCATTTCATAGAATTGCACTTGCTATTTTAGAAATAATTTCAAAGTTTTGCATGTTACTTTTCGTTTTAGAAAGAAGTTATGTGCCTAGAGAAAACATTCTTAAAATTGTTTCGTACTTTATTTAATATTTCATTAAGTAGGCAAGATAATGGGATTAGAAGATTTAGGATTTTGACAAGCCAACATAATTTCGATTTAATTGAATGGCAACACTGTCCGTCCTGTTTCTATTTTTTCGATTCTGTTCTATTAGTAGGCGGTAGCCCCCACACAAGCGTCTTAAAGACCCGCCCGGCGCCCCCTCTCGCAGGGGCTCTCTCGTCGTATCACTTCTATGATCACTTCCCCTATACAATGCTATGGAAAAGACACTTTATCCGTCTCTGTTGCACTGCAGTGTATTTTGCAGCCTTACCATCTTTTTTTATCGCATTGAAAACCTCCTATTGCTAATATTCCTTTGCCAGCAGTGTATAACTCTATAGAAGCTAAAATATTTTCCTGAAATACATCCTAATACACACTTATTCTAGGATACCCGACGCACTATTACCGGACTTTATATTTTTCAGAAAAATATGAAGTAAAACGAAAAATTTTCAATATTTTTCTATTTACAAAAAAAAACTCATTAGCGTGATTCAAAGCTCAAAATAGCGATTCTCTGTAAATTTACATCAACTTGGCAACCCCGTACATACCGAAACTTTTGAAAGGACTAAAAGCGAGACCGATGGATGCATTATGAATGAAAAGTTTAGCTAAAAGCGTGCCCGTATCGAAATTGATGGGGTGAAATATGAAGTTTAGTCGCTGGCCAGCTTTGGGGCCCGATCAACAGGAAAGGGGGCCACGATGAGAAGCCCTAATGAGTTTTCTTTGACCCTCAGACCCCCTTTTTCTCCTTTCAAACCTTCGAAGAACACGGCCTTGGTGAAAGGGTCTCTCAGAGAAACTTGGTTAGTGGTGTCTTAATGTTGTTAGTAATTATTTAGCGAGGGCATCAGTTGAAAAACGGTTTCTAAGAAACAGGGTTTAAGCTTTGAATTCAGTGAATAAATTCTATTAATAATAGATGGGGTGTCCCAGAAATAAGTGCAAGTATTTTAAAGGGTGGTAGATCTCGATAAAAGAAACATATTTTCTCTTTATCGTTTTACAAATGAGTCTAAAATAACGGAGTTATTTTAATTTGAAAATTTCCAAAAAAAATATATTTTTTGCTAAAATTTTGAGAACCACCACTGGATATTTTGTGTCGATATCGATACTTCTGAATCTTCAAACTTTCCCTACATCTCTAGTTCGTTCTTTGAAGGTCTCGTGTGTGTTTGGGGAAGGTCGAGTATTTCAATCGATGGCTCAAGGTAGGGGAGATTGAGGTATTTCGATCTCTTCAACTAGTTAAATTTCAACCAGAAAGAAAAATAGCATTTATATAGAATATATTCTGTATACGAGTAGTTTTATTTGAAGTTAGCTTGACCTAATGTGGTTTATTTCTTAGCGAATTAATACCGTATGATCGAATAAAAACGGCGTCAGCGATGGCTATGAAACGAAGATCGTTTCATAGCCAAGATTCGATAGAAGTTCAGAATAAAGCTTGACTTTTTATTTATTATTACTTAATACAGTAGTAATTTGCTCTTTAAAAAAATTTAATATTTTTTTTAATTATTACATAATTATCTTTTCCGTATAGTAGCAGAAAACCAAAAACCTTGACAAATAAATACGTATACTATTTAAGAGCTTTAAGAAAATTGTGTTGAAAAGTGTCAAGAATTTCCTCGGCATAAATTTTCTATACAACTAGAAAAACTAATTTAGAAAAGTAATTTAAAAAATTTAATCGAAAAAAATAGAAATAAAGGAAACTATATTATTAACCCTTCCGTTTCTACCTGGCTTTAATTATTTAAACCAATTGCTTCGGCCGAAGCTAAATAGAATGAACGACTCTTTAAGAAGGAATTTTTCTTTTCTCAGGTGAGAAACTCGATTAAAGGAAACAGTTGTTCGTTCCACAAGTTTTCCCCGTAGAGGAAATTCCTCTACTTCCAGAAAATTCATCCATTTTAAGGCTAGTAATCTTGTTACAGGCTGTTAAACCGTTTTCCGATCAATTAGACATCGCCAGGTGGTGAGATGGCTTTGCTAGCGCCATCTATCCATCTACGAACAAATACATTTAAAATTATACAGGGTGGTTCGAACTGTATTCCGGAAATATAACATACATATTCTGCAGATAAAAATAAGTAAAGAAGTTCGTAAAAAAGTTCAAAAGAAACTGTCTTATCATCATTTATTCGAAGAAAAATTTATGATTAATTTAAAAAAAATAAAAATTTCTCAAATTTATTATTTCACTCAAATAACTATCTACTCAAAGTGTTTATTTTCTTGACTATTTCCATTTTAAATATCTTGAGAACGGTTGCTCGTAGCCATTTTTATCAAGAGACATTTTTTACATAGAAAGTCACGTAATTGTATATTTTTTTACTAAGTAGTTTTATACAGGTCAGCACAAAAAGTTATTACTTTTCAAAACAGTTAAGACCCATATAGGTGGCGCCCCCTACAAATAGGAGTCATATTGACATCAAAATCCAATTTCTCTTGACAAAAAACCCCCAGATACCAATTTTCATCCAAATATTGACGTTACTTCACAAATAATTTATGAAAAAATCGAAATAAAAATGAAACTTCTACACCCTGTATCTCCGAAACTAAGCATTTTAGGACATACATTTATACGAACTTTTTTACTTATTTTTATCTGTAGAATATGCTGCCGAAGTTATACTATATATATAATACGTGCCATTGCAAAATGATTTCCTGCTGAAGCCGCACCAGTCCAAATTAACAGGCGAACGTAATTTCCCACATGTTGTCGGTTATTTTCCTATTTTCCGAGAGTCTTCCTCCCTGTTTTGTTGCTGTCTCGTCCCACGGGAACAGCGGGATCAATCGTTGTTTTTATTAAACGTTTTGAACGGTTATTTACACCTAATAAAACGCGATATAAATCATTACGTTGTTGTTGTTTTTAAAATTTTTCTCAAAGCTTCATTCTGTCCTGCATGAGATTACCGCATTACTAATGAGAAATCTTGAAGAAAACCCCTTGAGATTTAATAACTTATTATTTTAGGGTTCTTTTAACTTAACAAAGCACTTTTATTATTTCTGAAAGAAATCTAACAATAAATTTTCTATACAAAACACATTTTTTTATATTTCTTCTCTTTGAAATCCATTTCTGACATATCGTTTCCTCAAATTGCCTCCATAAAACCTCCCATTTGTTTTTTGTCAAAGTCGTCGAGCATCCCCAGAAATCGTGTCCGGGAAATATAAAAAATAGCTTTTCCATCCGTATTTTCCCGGAAATTTATCAACGACAGTAGAATCATAGAAAAAAAAAAGCTTTCTGAAAGCAATATTTGCATGGTTTAAGGTCTTTTTGGGGTATTAACTGTGGCGCAACATGGGGTTACACAGTGATAGTGGGAGTTTAGACAGAGGACAGAAGTTTAGCAAAGCACCCTGTATAGTTTAATATTACGATATTTTTAACAAAGTAAGTCCAGACCAACTATAGTAAATATCTAATATAGTTTTGATTTCAGGACATTTCTTGTATTTTTAATATTTTTTTTAAAAGGCGAACATTTTTTTTTTTAATTTATTTATTAATATCTCTGAAACTATCACAACATTAATTAGTTAATAATATCTTAATTTATTTATTTATTTATCGTATGGCTCATATACATGCAAGAAAACCAGACACTTAAACATAGACATAAAATAAACTACAATGTAAATGAAAACATTACAATGTAAATATAAAAAAAAACAAGTATAATATAAAAAGACAACATAAAAAACGTATTTACGAACACTATATATTAACATCTAGATGCCCTATCCATTCCAAAGCTGATGGAGAAGCCTCTAGAAAGTCCCTCCAGTCTTCACCATAAGCGCGTAGGTTGTACTCTCTAGTTATGTGATGGATGGTTTGGTGAGGGATCCGCAATCACATTCTGGGAAGGTATTTTTCCCCACCTATAAAGGAATCCGCACATCTTCATGGCCAGAGCGTATCCTATTCAAAGTTGACCATGTTTTCCGCTTTAGATCGGTACCCGGTGTCTGGCAATAGTTATGTTTGAACCAGGAATATAGGTGCGCATCGGCCATTTCTCTCCATAACTGAAGCCACTGTTCTCGAGAGTTGTAGTTACTGCTTTTTAGTTGTTCAGCTGTTCGCAAAGGTGGATTCCTCGACTTAAGTCTATTCACCTGTAAAGCAGGAAGTGTTTTATGAACAGGTAGCGTTGGGGTAGCTATTATTTTATCAAATTCTCTAAGAAGAGCCTCGTTTCTGCGTAGATTTGGAGGTAAGATGTTACTCAGGACTGGAAGCCAGTAACTAGGGGTGCATCTGATTGTCCCTGTAATCAGCCGCATGGTGTTGTTCAGCTGTCTGTCTACGAGATTTGTGTGGTGGCTGTTCAACCACACGGGTGCACAATACTCTGCCACACTGAATACCAGACCAAGGGCGGAGATCCGAAGTATTGTTGCTTTTGCACCCCAAGAAGTACCACAAAGTTTTTGTATAATGTTGTTTCGTGTTCTGATTTTCCCAGCAACATTTTCTAGGTGTTTTCGAAATGAGAGTGTACGGTCTAGAGTAATCCCCAGATATTTTGGATATTTGTTATTACGCAGAGTGGTGTTACCAAACTGGACGCTTATTTCAGTATTCGCCAGCTTGTTATTAAGATGGAAGGTAGCCAATAATACGAGGCATGTTTTTTAAGTAAGTACCGTTTTGGAATTTAAAAAAAACGTGCAAAGATATCGCAATAATTTTATTTTTACATGAAAGCCTGTACCTTAATCTACTTTTCTACATAATTTCCGTGAATATTGAGGCACTTGTCATAACGTGGCACCAGTTTTTCAATACCCTCCTCATAAAATTCTGCCGCCTGACTGGTTAACCACTGTATCACAACTCTTTTGACTTCGTTATCGTCTTGAAGACGCTGACCGCCAAGGTGTTATTTCAAGTGCAGGAATAAATGGTAGTCACTGGGCGCCAGATCAGGGCTGTATGGAGGATGATCTAGAGTTTCCCAATTAAAAGATTTGATGAGATCTTTGGTCCGATTAGCCACATGTGGACGGGCATTGTCATGCAGCAAAACAATACCCTTACTCAACTTGCCACATCTTTTGTTTTGGATTGCACGGCGCAGATTGTTCAATGTCTCACAATAAGATGCTGCATTGATTGTCTCATTGCGAGGCAAAAACTCCACTAGCAATACTCCTTTTCTGTCCCAAAAAACTGTGCACATGATTTTCCGGGCAGAAATTGTTTGCTTAAACTTCACTCTTTTGGGTGATGATGAATGTCGCCATTCCATGGACTGTTGTTTCGATTCTGGTGTGACGTAGGCCACCCATGTTTCGTCACCAGTAACAATTTTGCCTAAAAAATCTTCACCTTCATTGTAGTACTGCTCAAGGAAAGTCAATGCACTGCCTAAACGTTGGGTTTTGTGCAAATCCGTCAACATTTTCGGAACCCAACGTGAACACAATTTCCGGTAATTCAAGTTCTCGGTCACAATGCGATACAAAACACTACGAGAACATTGAGGAAAGTAGTCGCACAATGATGAAATTGTAAAGCGTCTGTTTTCTTTCACCTCTTTGTCCACTTTCTGCACCGAATCTTCATTAACGACCGAAGGACGCCCACTCCGTTCTTCATCATGCACATTTGTGCGGCCATCTTTAAATGCTCTCACCCTTTTCCTTACCATTCCATCACTCATAATGGTTTGTCCGTAAACTTCACAGATCTCACGATGAATATCGATCGGTTTTACGCCTTTAGCACTAAGAAATCGTATGACAG